ACAGTTGCATAATTAAATCTAATACAAAATAGAATAATTCTGTCACTTAAGCACGTAATTTTAACCAGTTTATATGCATTAAATTGTGAATTGATATCCCCGACAACATTTATTTGATGATAAATCAGTATAACTGCGCAATATTACGATTTTATCCTGAAATTGTATCGTATGGACGCGTGTTAAATGATACTAAACGTTTGAGGACAGCATATCTATCCAAACTCCTGAAAAGGCTAGAACATGCCATTTTTGCTAAATAGGAGATTTAATAGACAAAGAATCTGACGATTACTCTATAATCAATAATTACTGAAGGATGACTAGAGGGCTTAGAGTTTTTACATCCAAAATAAAAACATCAAATCCTTTAAGATCTAAATTACCCATTAAATTTCAAGGAGATTACAGTAACTATAACAATCTCATCTATCAAAATACTGACTGAGATTTCCGTGTATGCTGATAGAACAATCATTCTCACATCACTCATTCAGCATGACGCATCTGTATTAAACAAAAATATTTATTTTAAACAGCAAGAAAACTAAAACCGGTTTGATTATAAAATTCAAAGCTTGAAAGATTCAAGAGATGTATTTTATAATGCTGGAATTGTATGTATATCACATACTCTTTATAAGCTTGTATTTTATGGTGAATGCATATATTATTTTTGTTAATAAGAATGCTAACTCGGCACCTTAGTAGATTAAAACTATGTGAATCTTTTCTCCATTTGAGCAAAGCATACCCGATAATGTAAAATCTCCTCAAATCGATCACCAAGTTGCTTTCAGTGAGTTTAAATTTGTAACTTTGTATATCCACTGTGATACAATGCTATCATAACAATTCAAACATAAGATATAATTCCTGTTTTTAAATATTGATTTCTAATCTAGAATCGATATAGCATTATGGGTAATGTATAGATGTACAACAGGGCTAATATATATAGGTAATACAACATCATCAATGTATGTACGATATGACATGATAACGTATTGGATCAATATCTTCGGATTTAACTAATAACACCTTCGCCATTGAAGACCCTCTATTATTATATGCTCATTTTTTCTTCGTTAACTTTACATTGTCAGAATCGTCCAATATTTGTAGGTTACTGCATTTGTATGGGAAACTTTGAACGAATTTTTCGGATGAATATACTGCACGACCTTGGGAGTGCAGTATATTTTTTTGACAAGGGATTCATATTTTTCCATACAAATACAGTAACCTTTTTATTATATGCTCATTTCTTATTCATCCCAAGGGTTATATATATATATATATATATATATATATATATATATATATATATATATATATATATATAAACAAAAATAAACTACAAGAAACAAAGTAACTAAATGTATGCCATATTCCAAACTAAATACAGAAGCGTTGATTAATCATTACACAACATTATTAATTAGCGCATAACTCCGCCCAGATAAATTTGAAGTTGGTCGCGTGCTAGACGTAAGTTTCGAAAGAAAATGACGTTTGGTTCTACTTAAAATTGAAATTTGGAGTAATATTGTTAATGAATATGCATTGCAACAATTTTTCCATTTGATCTGGAATGAATACTTTTTGTATTTTGTCGATTAAACGCAATCTTTTGATTATGGTCTGGATTTATCTTGTTACGTATATGTGATTAAATTACTTGTTGGTAAGGTTTTAAATTCTTTTTATTTCATTTTTGTTTCATTGTATTTAATTGCAATGAATATTTTTCTCGGATTCGGGATTCTATTTTTAGTAATGAGATGTTTTTTTATCACAAAGTTGTTTACTTAAGATGAAATAGTTATACGTGTAAATTTACATTGAGTCTGTATTACCTTGGTAACAAATCAACAGGAAGTTAAAAATGATTGGTCAGCATCACGGACAGATTATCTCCGCGTGATCAATGTTTGTAAACAACCTTTGATTACTTTTTTAATGGAGTGACATTGGTCTACTTGTGAATTTTAGCGTAATAAGAGACCACATGACCAATATCGCGAGATCTGAAGTGATGTTTTGAGTGTAAATACGCATTCCTAATATTGGTTCGACCGTAGTCATTCGAAACCGTGACGGAACAAGGTGTATCTATGTATTTATTTTAAATTTGTTGCCATAATATTTTATTCTTCATCTGATTTTTGGATTCAATAATTTATTTTCTTGGACACTAAACAAATTGAATTTCTTATAAAAAATTCTGAAAATATTTCAAGGAAATTAATTCTTGAATTATTCAGAAACAAAGACTGTGATTCAAGTGAGGAATTATTGTTATTCATATATTGGACTACATCTTACGTCATCGCCCTCCATATTCATACGTCGTCGGGACCCGAACCTGGATTCTTATAGGAATATTTAGTGATAGGACTTGTATTTTTATTCTTAGAATCATTTTTGGATTATATTCATACACTGTAAGTCCTATTTACCAATTTTTCCATTGTTATCTAGGGAAATAAATGGTTTAGTTAAAATTTACAAAGATTTTGGCTTTCACTCTTTTCTTTGATACTGAGTACAAACTTTTGTCACGTAACAATCTACATAAAGTGACTTGCATCAGAATTCAGCAGCGTCTGCCAATTTAATCGTTTTGAAGTGTGTTGACATCGACATGCGTGTTTCTTTTCTGTCCTTCAGTTCATAATGTGGGAAAATTATGAAGCCTTTCAATTGCAATGATCGAAAAGATGCTGTGGAATTTAATGTTTATCTCATTTTGAGAGCAATAAGGAGGATGTAACTGTACCTGGAATATACTCGAAATTACAGTACAATTTCAAAATGTGCAATCAACCTTGAGAACCCATGACATGGCTCATCTAAATTATATTTACAGAAATACGAAAGTATATTTTTGAGGAAATCAGTATGTAAAATTGTAATTATATTTTCTGCCATTTTTATTACCAGCTAAAGAAGACAGTTTATGTATAAACGCTTGTTATTGTAAGGACCCTGTATAGCGTCTATATCTAGCTAAATATGTAATATATTATCAAAAGAGTAAACGCGGAATGTGCCAAAGCAGTTTGTATGTGACAGTCTATTATACATTTGACGGTATGTGGCAGTCCATGAAATATCTGTTTTAGTTCATTCATAAAACAATGTTTACGTTAGAAAATAGTTCCTTTGAATTGAGCGCGCTGGGTACAGTATGAAGGTGTTCAGTATCAGGGAATATTGAACGATTCTGACAATGTAAAGTTTTCGGAGTAATAAAAATGAGCATATAATAATTCCCTATGAAGAAAGATCGAACTCTCGGTTCATACTGCATTCACATGAAAAATAGATCTACTTACTATCGTAAACAAAGAATTCGTTTCTGAATGAACTAAAGCAGTTGTTCTGCCACATATCAGCAGTTTTGGCACACTCCGCGCTAACTTTTTATACAATGTTTTTAGATTTAGGCTACCTATAGACGCCAAACAGGGTCCTTCCAAATAACATGCAAGTGACAAGGCGTAAACTGTCTTCTTAAGCTGGTAATAAAAATGGCAAAAAATATACTTACATTTTTACATCCATATTTACCTCAAAATGTAATTTCTTAGTTCTGCAAATCCGAATTACATGAGTCATGTCATGGGTTCTTAACGATAATCAGACATTTTGAAATTGTACTGTAAATTCGAGTATATTCCAAGTGCAGTTACGTCCTTCTTACTGCACTCAAAATGAAATAAACATTAAATTCCACAGCATCTTTTATATAATTGCAATTGAAAAATATCATATTTTCCCCACATTATGATTTGAATCATTCAATGACAGAACAGAAACACGCATGCGTATGTCACATGCTTCTGCCTCGCTGCTTCAATACGATGGATTTCATGTAGAATTGGCACAGACGCTGCTGGAATCTGATGAAAGTTGTTTCAAGTAGATAAATCCAGACCATAATAACCAAATTAAGTCGAATCGACAAAAATACAAAAACATATTCATTCCAGATCAAATTATTTTACAGCATGACTCCAAATTTAAATTGTAAGTAGACCTAACGCTATTTTCTTTCTAAATTTATGTATAGCGCGCCACCAACTTCAAATTTATATTGGCGGAGTTACTTGCGCATTAATAATGATGTTGTGTAATGATACAGCTACGCTTGTGAATTTAGTTTTGGAATACGGAATACATTCAGTTACTTAGTTTCTTTTAGTGTATGTTTTTTTATATATATATATTTAAAACTTGGGTAGAATAAGAAAATGAGCATATAATAAAAAGGTTACTGCATTTGCATGAGAAAGCATAAACTCCAAAGGTCGCGCAGTATATCCATTTTAAAAACTCTTTCATGTTTTCCCATACAAATGCAGGAACTTAGAAATATAGTATTTATTACCCACTATATTGTCAGTGAATAGGTCTACAACATGGGTAATGTAAAACAGGCAAAGTACAGCAGGGGCAGTTCATAGGTGTAAAACAGAGTCGATGTACAGCAGGGACAGTGTATATGTGTACAATAGGATCAATGTACCGCATGGACAGTGAATAGGTGTACAACAGGGTCAATGTATCGGTGTACAACAGGCAATATATAGGTGTACAACAGAGTCAGTGTATAGGTGCAGAACAGTGGCAAGGTATAGGTGTATAATAGCGACAATGTGTAGGTGTAACAGGGGCAATATATATGTTTAAAACAGGCAATGTAAATCTTACAACAGGGACAATATACAGGTTTAAAACATGCAATGTATAGGTGTACCGATGGGTATATATATATATATATATATATATATATATATATATATATATATATATATATATATATATATATATATATATATATACAACAAAGGCAATATGTGTGTGTGATTTTAATTTTTAACTTTATAACACTTTTTCTGTCTGCATTATGGCAGATTATAGTGAGGTCTAGCCTCAGAATGTTGAGAACCTAGCGAGGCAGCTGTTAGTACCATTTTTTTAAGTCTTTAGTAAGACCAAGGCCAGGGTTTGAACACGCGACCTCCCGCATCTGAAGCAGACGCTCTAACCTCTAAACGACCGGAGCGGTCAATGTATAGGTAATACAACAGGTGCAATGTATTCGCAATAAAAAAACAGGTGCAATTTATAGGAAATACAACAGGATTAATGTATCGGTAGTACAACAGAGGCAATGAATAAATATACAACAGGGACAAATAAAAGTCATAATATAGTGTTGTCATTAATGACTACTGCTCGTAGCGAGATCATCGTCCAAAGTTAACAATGCGCAGATGTCATACTTAATATATTCTTTCAACCATTGGCCAGTTATAGTTATTAGCATCTCTTTACAGCCATAAGGTGCACCTATGCCTTAATGAAGATTTATATATATATATATATATATATATATATATATATATATATATATATATATATATATATATATATATAAACAACCTACATTATTATTCATGCCGAATATCCTGTGAATGATCTCATCATTTATGAACGGTATTATAAATATAGTCTATTCTCAACATGTCTTGCATTCAGAAAGAAGAAAATAGACTTTTATGATTAATAAAACAGGAGAATATTGCTTGAAAGTTTGATGAGCACCAGATCATAAATTGGATTTATATTTCAAAGCTTTAATAGCTTTCCCAATTGTCTAAATGAAGGTTAGTCTTAGTTTTTCAAGCCTAGTAGCTTTTATGATAGCCATGGTTTTGATATCAATAATTTCTGGCATGCTGAACTGCAAATTAAGTAGCTCTGGATTATATCAGATTCTAATTAATCGAACAAAACTGTTAGAAATTACAAGAGACAATATTCTACATTTTGCTATTTATAATAATTTCCTAAAGTGTTGATATATACACAAAGCGGCATACGGTAATAATTTCCCATTATCACGGGTTCAAATTTTAGTGTATACATGTACGTGAGACTTCAATATCTTATGCACATTGATACACACCATTAGGATTATTCTTCAAAATATTTTTTTTTCTTAACTATATCACAGTCGATGGCTATAGCATTTAAACACAAGTTAGGACATACGTGTCGGAAAGTATAACTGGTGAAGGAAGAATCAGGAAATCCCGTTAGGAACCACCGAACCATGGGAAGCTACTGTTAAGCTTTCGCACATACCCGCATTGACGGAGTCCGTGGCTAGAATCCGCATAGAAAGAGGTAAGATGGTAGTGATCGTTATAGGCAAATCCTGTGGCACTTGGCAGATTGGGACCTATTGGTCATACGCATCCCGAAATATATGACCTCTAGGCAACACATAACTCGTCTCCAGTCTTTAATGCTACTTATCCTAATACTACTTACCATGTGTTTATTGTACTGTATTTTTCAATGCATCTCGATCCACTATGATAAGAGCCTATGGCTCAACCTTCCATCAAGAATAAATAAAGTAATTTAGTTGTGTTTATAATTACTATTATTATATGCTCATCTTTTTTCTCCTTTAACTTTACATTGTCAGAATCGTGCAATATTCGCCGATATTGAACACCTTCATATTGTATCCCGCGTGCAAAGGAACTATTTTCTAACGTAAACAATTTTTTATGAATGAACTAAAGCATATATTTCATGTACTGCCACATACCAGTAAATGTTTCATAGATTGACACATATAAACTACTTTGGCACATTCCGTGTTTACTTTTTTGATACAATGTTTCAGATTTAACTATATATAGACGCTCGACCAATACAGGTTCCTCACAATAAAACGCAAATTATACACATAAACTGTCTTCATTAGCTGTTAATAAAAATGTCTAAAAATATACTTACAATTTTACATACTGAATTTCCTCAAAAAATATATTTTCGCAGGTCTGTAAATCTGAATTAGATGAGCCATATCATGGGTTCTCAATGATGATTACACATTTTTAAATTGTTGGCCTACTGTAATTTCGAGTATATTCCAAGTGTAGTTACATCGTCTTTACTGCACTCAAAATTAAATAAACATTAAATTCCTTAGCATCTTTTCGATCATTGCAATGGAAAGGCTTCATAATTTTCCCACATTGTGATCTGAATCATTCAATGACAGAAAAGAAACACGCATGCCGATGTCTACACAATTCAAAACATTAAATTGGCAGACGTTGCTGGAAACTGATGCAAGTCACTTCATGTAGACAAATCAGACCACAATCAAAAGATTGCGTTGAATCAATAAAAATAACAAAATGTATTCATTCCAGATCAAATGGAAAAGTTGTTGCAATGCGTATTGATTAGCAATATTACTCCAAATTTCAATTTTAAGTAGAGCAAGCGCCATTTTCTTTCGAAACTTACGTCTACCGCGCGACTAACTTCTTATTTATCTGGGCGGATTTATGCGCTCATTAATAATGTTGTGTAATGATCCATCAACGCTTATGTATTTAGTTCGGAATACGGCGTACATTTAATTACTTTGTTTCTTTCAGTGTATTTTTGTTTATATCTTTAAGCCTTGGGAAGAATAAGAAATGAGCATATAATAAAAAGGTATTTGTATGGGAAAATATGAACTCGTTTTGTCGGAAGAATACTCCGCACTCCCAAGGTCGTGGAGTATATCAATCCGAAAAACTCGTTATATTTTCCCATACAAATGCAGTATCCTATATTTCTAACCTTGTATTAAAGCCTGATATCACCTAAACTGACGGTACAAACATACCAGTCTCTTATTGGTTATGATTTTATGATTCTAGAACCTATGAATGGGCATATAAGTACAGGTGAGCATATATACCGAGAACGTATAACTGGGCATATAAGTACAGGTGAGCATATATACAGAGAACGTATAACTGAACATGTATTCTAAAGGTATTAAGAACATGAAATGGCGTAAAACGTAAACGTAAAGGTTTATACCTTATTGTATTGAATTTTTTTACATAATTGTTATCGTCACTATTGATATTGTTTAACACACATTTAAATGAAACAATTCATTTATACTTTGTTCCCACCTGGGACCCATTTCCTCATCGTGCTCATGTCAGTAATGTGCTAAAATGCTAATAAAAATAATAACAACAAAAAAACTGTTGAAAAGATATTGAAGAATTTCCGTGTACTTTACGCAGAAATGCAGTTTGTGTTAATTCTTTTCTCAAGTCATTAGACAACGAAATGACATTTGTGTCATTTCCTAATGTCCTAAAAAAACCTAATATATGTTTCGTTTATTTATCAAATGTTCTATGTTATAGGTATATTTCGAGGGATGCTTCACAAATATCACGTGTCCCTTTTTTATATTAGATTATGAAGCCAGTTTATTGCCGCTCCCATTCAGATAATGAGAGATGCTTGTGGAAAGACCACCTACGTCTGGCTCAATCCTATTTTGGGTTTAAAAGTAGTGATATTAGATACGTCGGATAATTGAAGTAAATTATAACCTTGCAGTCTCGCGTCTCTAATTGCCAACAGTATCATGATTATGTCGCCTACGAATAGAACAATTCTGCCATTTAGGTATGAAATTTTAACCCCCTTATATGTATCAAATTGTGATGGAATATGCTCGATACAATTGCTTTTTGATAAATCAGTAGAACAGCAATAAGATGTGTAATAAAAAAAAATTTGTCCTGAAATTGTATCAATGAATACGTGCTAATGATATTGAAAGTTCAAGGACATCCTATCCATCTGAACTGAGGAAAATGCCAGAACTTGTCATGTAATCAGTGCATTCTGTTTGTCAACAAGTAACGAGCAAAATAAACTCTTTAAGTTCTCAAGACCGTTGTGTACACACAAAAGAAAGAATACACAACGAATCTGATTCAATACCGTTGTGTACACACGAAGAGAAAGAATACACAACGAATCTGATTCAAGACCGTTGTGTACACACGAAGAAAAAGAATACACAACGAATCTGATTTAAGACCGTTGTGTACACACGAATCTGATTGTATTGCCTCTATAATCAATAACTGAGGTCGGTGTTCCAGATAGTCACTAGATTATCTAGGGCTTTTACTTGCAAAATAAAAAAAAATAGAAAGTAGTTGATTTTCTTATTTTACAGAAGGTCTAAATTACCCATTAACTTTCACATTGATTACATTCACTGCTGATAGTCTCAAAATGCTAATATTGAGACTTCCGTGCACTCTAAGTGTCAAAATGCTGATCGCGAGATATCCGTGCACTCTAATAGAATAATCATACTTATTTCATTCATGTAGCATGACGCACGTGATTTAAAAAAATAATATTTAATTTTTAAATAATAAACTGTTATGATTGTGAAATTCAGAGCTGGGAAGATCCAAGAGAATACGTACTCCCCTTGTTCCTAGGCTACACATAAATTATTTTGTTAGTGATAAGGATAACACGGCTACTTTGCACATTAAAACTAGGTGAATCATTTTTGTATTAAGGCGTGGCATACACCATAATGAAAAATGTACTAAAATCGATCACCGAGTTGCTTTCAGTGACTTTAAATTTTTTACTCTGCTTATACACTGTGATACAATGTTATCATGACAATTCGAACATATGATATCCATCCTGTTTTGAAATATTGATTTTTAATCTAGAATTGATACAGCAATATGGGCAATGTATAGGTGTAAAACAGGATCAATGTATAAGTAATACAACAGGGTCATTGTATAGGTATACAACAGGATCTATGTATAAGTATACAACAGAGGTAATGTGTATGTGCACAACAGGTCAATGTATAGGTAATACTACAAGGGCAATGTATAGGTGAGTGTTTGTGTGTGTGTGTGTGATTTTGATTTTAACGTAGCTTTAACAATTTTTCTGTCTTCAGTTACTATGTCTGTAGTTTTGCAGTTTATAGTGATGTCTAGCACTGGGGCGTCATACCGAAGACATGGTAGCACCTAGTCACATTATCCTGACACTAGGCCCACCAATCATAACCTATTAATGCTGAGCGCATAACGAGACAGCTTTTGCACCAATTTTATAAGTACTTTAGATGACTGAGCTTCGAACCCGCGACCTCCCGCATCCGAGGCGGACGCTCTTACCATTATGT